TATGGTTCAAAAGTTATGATTAACTCAAAAAATTCTGTCTTCCTAAATACGCTCTTGGGATCATTGTGCAGTGGATGGTCCTCCGAATGATCCGAAACATCCGTAAAAGTGGTCATTTCATGTAACTGATCCAAGAACTCCGTATTATTTCGAAAACTCTCATAGACGCAGTGTTTGGAAAATCATTCTCAAATCTCATTCATTGAGCATCCCTGCGAGAATAAACTCACGTGTGAATGCGGCAAACAAAATTCACGCTTGAGATTCTCATGCATATTCACACACTCACACTCACAACGCCAAAAAATCATTCCAGCTTTAAACTCATAACAACCACTCAAACTTCAATTGATATCATGCCTATGCATGTTGTGTAAGCTTTTCAACTCCTGATGTACAAACAATAGTAATAACAATGAATAACGCCAAAATATAAAGCAATGAATTTTTGAACCTGAAAACTCATCGGTGATTTTTGCGACATTGAATTTTGCAAAGCAAAACTTATAGGCGCATAAACTTATGCATGAGATTTGAGTTTTTGAGTTTTTCTGAACACTGCGATAGACGTCTTATAATTATGAAATCAGAGTTATTGGAAAATAGACCTTGAAGGAACTCGGACTTGTGACTGGAAAATGGACCCCAGGGTCCATTGCATGGTCCTCCGGAATATCCGGAACATTAACGGATTTGGAATAGTTAAAAAAAACTGATCTCAGCACTCTGTGCTTTTTTTAGAACTTTTCAATGGCATTATTTTTCTATTTATTATCATGGATCATGGTTTCCAGGTGATATCTAAATATTTAATAACTTCAAAGGGCTTTTAACGGAATTTTTGAATATTATTCCTTAGATATATTGGATATATTTCTCTTGACTTCTTGATTTTTTCTTCTTTCTTTAGGGTTACAAGTTGACGAGGGACTATCTTTAATGTTTATAGTTTTAATGCATCACATCAAAATTGAATCAATAAGGCAATACAAAATATCATCTTGAGTTATTATTCGTATACTTTATGTGTGGTTTTGAAAAAAAAAACCACGGAGCTCTAGGATCAGTTTCATGAATTGACCACTTTTACGGATGTTCCAGATCTTATAGTGGACCATCCCGTGGACTCCAGTATACATTTTCTGGTCACAACTCCGTATTTATTGTGATAAGGCTCTGAACCATTTGGCGAATTTTTTAACTTTTGGCTAAAATTTGACAGATGGAAAGTTATCGATGAACCCTGCTATCTGAGCATGCTTATTTCTGATAGACAAGAAGTGAAATTTTGACAACCGTGACTGAGTTCTGCTTGAAAACCGGTCAATGGACAGCACGGGGATTTTCGAACAGAGAGAATAACTTTCGTAATGTCAGTTTTAACTACGAGTTAAATTTAACTCGGCAGCGGCGGTTCACCACCGACAAACCGACATGAATGATCATACAAAGAATCATCAAATTTATGATCAAAGCACAAAACTGACATCTGCCGCCGTGTTCGCGAAAATTGTGTATCCTAGCCACGAACACGCATACATTATCAAGATATCTGTATCGTTTATGAAATAGTCTAACACAGTCGCACAGCCAAATGTTCAGAGCTTTCACTCTTTAAGCTACAAAAGCGACATTTATCTTCATGAAGTTTACCAATAATTTTCCAGTAATATTTACAAGGACAGTGTCCTGTTATCAAACCAGTGTATGTACCCAAATCTTTTATAGAAAGGTTAAGTAATTGTTGTGTTTGAAAAGCGTTCGGCTTTATAAAACGTTTAGATGGTCCAGTTACTGTACCTTTGTTTTTTTCTCAGTTTTTAGATCCATTTTTAAAGCACAAAAATAAAGATGACCCTATTTTCGTTTCCTTTGATTCCACAATGACCAGGAACCCAATAAAGGTTAACCGTGTTTCGACAGGACAGTTGCTGTAATAGTTTAGTAGGTACATTTCCACACCAGTTTTGACGTGTACATTTTTGATTTCAAAGCTTGCAATGCCACTTGACTATCTGAACAAATGCAAATATTTGCATTTGTTAAGTTCCTTTTTATGCAAATCATTGCACATTCTAAGACGGCATATATTTCAGCTTGAAATACTGTCGGCCATTTTCCCATGGACACCGGAAAGTTAACTCCAGGGCCGATAATGCTTTTGAAGAGTTAAAAAATCATGAGGTCAATTCTCCGGTACAATACTTCTCTGTTTTTACATTTCCAAGTTCAAATCAGATTTAACAAGTGAGGAAATAAGCATTTTATATATAAATAAAAATACTTTGAATTATTTGAATTTTAACTAGATTACCCGGATTATCCGGAGATCCAGAATATGGCCACTTTACCCCAAAATATTCCATATTAAATACGCTTTGATCTCTTGATTCTGAACGATATAGAGAATGAAAATCACAAGGTTCTAGGGCAATATTTATAATGTGGCCACTTTAATGCTCGTTACGGTTCTTCCGTTGGGCCAGTAAAGGTTCCCTGAGGGCGTATATGGTGTCATTACACCATATATACTTAGTACTATCAATTTCCAACAATATGCCTGAGGTAAGATGTATAACTATGTTAATATAAAGCAACATTTCCTATTTTATCACGAACCCGGGCTGATTCCGACCCTCTATCTCAGCATGAGCATGAGCATGAGCATTGACGACCATACATTTCCGTAGTTGCTACTCCGTGATTGACCAGATTTAACGAAATTTGCCCAAAGAACCATATGGACTAGCAATCCATTCTCAGTGTACAAAATCCGGAGAATCCATATTTTTGAGTTCAATAACGCCGCCAGCCACGTCCCTATGGGCATCGGGGAGGGAAAGGATTATTATTTCAACAATCGTTGCTACTAGAGACCAAGTATACCTCTGCATCTCCACGGTTGTCATGGGAAGGACATTAGGGGGTAAATTAGATCTGGATTCACATTGGAAAGTGATGCGATCTTTTAAAACCTGCTAAGCAAATGACGCGACCCTATCAATTCAGTAAAGAGGCTTGGGTTTTAATTCACGATCATCTGCTCAGTAAGCAAAAACGGTTGCTCTAAGGCCACCGTGCCTTTTACATCACAACAAGCTACGACCGACGATCGTTCATTATCGGTTACAAGAAGCTATTACAATACAATGAAATCATCCAAAGTAGTAAACAATGTCTTCCGAACCGATTCAGGCGTACGTCACATTTGTCTAAATATATTTATTACTTTTCTGAATCGTTCCTCCAATTTCTGTTATTAACGATTTTCTATAATAGAGGCCTGGATATATTAACTTAGTAATGTAATGAGATGTCTATGAGTGGTTTCGAAAAAAACCACGTAGCTCTATGATCAGTTTCATGAACTGACCATTTTTACAGATATTCCGGATCCTTTAGTTGAAAAACCCTTGGTCCCCAGGGTCCATTTGCAGGTCAGTCCTCTTTATTTATAGAGATGAACTAGCCTATTTCTAAAAATCTCTCAAATAAAGATAAAAAAAAAATCCTCTTTATTTATTGCGATAAGACGTCTATGAGTGGTTTTGAAAAAAAAAAACGCAGCTCTAGGATCAGTTTCATGAATTGACCACTTTTACGGATGTTCCGGATCTTCTGGTTGACCGTCCCGTAGTCTCCAGAGTCCATATTCCGAACACAACTCCGAAATCATTCCGATAAGACGTCTATGAGTAGTTTCGAAAAAAAAACCACGGCGCTCTAGGATCAGTTTCATGAATTGACCTCTTTTACGAATGTTCTGGATCTTCCGGTGGACCATCCCGTAATCTCCAGAGTGTTCCATATTCTGAACACAACTCCGAATTCATTCTGATATGATGTCTATGAGTGGTTTCTAAAAAAACTACGGCTCTAGGATCAATTGCATGAATTGACCACTTTTATGGATGTTCCGGATCTTCCACAGGACCTGACTTGTGTCCTACCGGAAACTGACTCTTCCCAAAAGATGGCCAACTATCTGTTTAACAACTTCTCTAAATACATCAGGCATTTATCTCTTCAAATTGCCGTACAATCAGTGGTTGGTCCCAATTAGCTCAAATCCCATAAGGTACGTGTATTCGTTAATGCCCGTACTATAGGAATCCAGTGGCATCAGTACTAAAGGAGTCCAGCAATAATGTATTCGCACTATGGAACTGTTTATTTGATGGAACTTTGCTTAAGAAACCAAATTTCGATGCTCCAAAAGTCCAAAATATTATATAAAAACAACTTCTGCTATGACTAACTTATTGACAAAAATTTTAGCTAATATCAAAATCTACAAAAGCTTGATACATCATTTAACGGAGTTCTGTTAAAAATTTAGAGGCAAATCATTTGCCATGCCTGCACAAGATACAACCGAGCATCAACCCAACATGGTTGTATAAATTAGATTTCCGGTTGCAGTCGATTATATGAATAGGGAATGTCATCCATTTATTTGCACTCAAGGACATTTTTTTTTGAAATTAAAACTTTTATTCATCTGATCTCCGTTTTCTCTTCTTCTTTTCTTCTTTTCTTCTTTATCGGCGATATTCACAATGATTTCACAAAACTTACCTCTTAAATATATATATATTTGCGAACTTATTATTAAAATTAATAATCGTTATTTATTTTTTTGTTTTGTTTTACTTCATCATACGTGAGTGAATTCTCTCTACTCTGCTGTTTATTACTTGCTAACCGCTACATCCAGTAACGCTATTACATAAGAGGATTTCCATACATCCCTTGCAGCACACTATCCGTTTCTTTTCGTTCGTCAAACAAATGTTGCTTCTAAGCATTATTATCAAATAACGCCATGTTGTTCTTATTCTGTTTTGAACGACATAAGCGAAACTTTTTTTTTGCTTTTAGGTATTTGCATACGATTAAAGTGCAAACGAAATCATGCGAACATTTTGTTTTTTTTTTTCCTTTTTTTACAATACCTTATAGCAAATGAATAGCTAAACTTTATGTTTTTGTTCAGAGAGAAAGGCTATATCGAAAAATGGTAACAGTGTTCGAAAACTAACAAGCACACGGGAGTAAAGACACTGTCTATACTTCGGGGAGAAATATACATTCTGGAAGACACAATCTAGATATATCAATGGTGAAACGATTTCAACTATCGCGCTTCCAGATGCACACAAACTCAAAGCCGCAATTCATATCTCGTTGGATTTTTCGTTTTTGATACGCCAAAACAACATTTAACTAAATTTTGATCCAAAAACACTCATTGATCATTCTCCTGTTTGAAAAGGAAAGCTATTTCTGTTGATGTAGTGAATCAAAGCTAGATCGGAAGATGACAGTGGCAGATATAGAACACACCTTTAACGCTCGCGAAAATGAGAGACCAATCAAAAACTATATTTGAAATGTGCAGTATTGACAGTTTACAATTATCATTGAGCGGATTCATACAATGACAGCAGCGTGTACAATGCAATAGAACATTACACATTAAAAAATAATTTTTAAATTATAAAGTTTTAGTTTTAACAAATAATGAAAATTGTCGAGCAGGGCACTGAACTCCTAATGGTAAATTTACTAAAGTGAATGCCAATTTAAATTGAAAATAAGGAAATTATTTGCAATGTTCACTTGATTAACTTTATTTCAATCTTTATTGTAAATATTTTAATATTTATAGTTATTAGATCGATTTTCACTTATTTTTGTCATCGTCTTATAATCTAGCCTTAATTATTTGCTTCCTTTCACGTTTCTATGCATGTGTACGTGTCTATGTGTATTATAACCTTGCTTGTTGCTATCAACTCGATTATCCTTTTCCAAGTTGGTATTCATTTTATTCATTCTTTTTGAAGTATGCAAGTGTGTGTTGTTCATAGACTCTACCACAAATTCATGTAAACTGAAAATTCAACTAAAATAAAACAAAAAAAATAGCAGTTTTACAATAAAATATCAGGCAAACAATATTAATATAAACAAAATTGATTTCTTTCTACAATTTTTTCTTCGGAGAGCTAAACACGATTCGACTCTGTTGCTACTGTCCCACAGCAGTGAGCGGAGCTAGACTAGAAGAACTAGCAGTTGGAACATTGATTAAAGAAAAGAGGCATATGGGTTCATTATATACTGTGGAGCGACTTCAATAACGCATAATAAAAATAAATTATGAGGTACCTACAATCAACAATGAATCAAACGGCAAAAGTACATCTCTCTACAAGAATTTCCTATTTGTTCCGAACCAATATTTTAGGCATAGCTTTCCATAATTAGAAACATTGCACGGTAGGATGGTAGGTATACGGAAAAAATAATACAAACGATTGGAAAAATTCGGGTAAGCAGTGGCTAGTGGGAACAGTAGATAGACCACATCCTATGGATACGCGGGTGAAGTTTGGCGCAGTCGAGTTTAAACGTTGAAATAAGAGGACAGCTGAAGAAATAGGTGTAGTCAATGGTGTTGTTGCTGCGTAAGAACGTCCTCTACACTGACGAAAGCGCACGCGCCAAGGGATGAACTGGACATCAAACGAAGAAGTTCGCATGCGTGTGCTATACACACTTCCAGCGGCGGCCGCCACGAATAGCTCATCGATTCTGAGGATGAAAATAACGGAAACGGATGAATATATTTCTTATCAACTAGACATAACTCATAATCAGTAATTACCTAATATGGCAGAATTAAGGGCAGCACACACGGATTCACGACGTGACGGACATAGTTGCCAACCTAGTGGGCTTGCCCAGGGATTAGAATACGCTAATAAACTAAATGCATCCTGAAACGATATGAGAAAGAAGAAATTAAATGCCGAGATGTCACAAATATCCATATAAACGTAGTAGTGGATACATATTCATTATGTTACGACTTTCTATCATGGGCATGAGCATAGATGACCGTACAATTCGTGCTTGCTACTTCGTGATTAACCACGATCAACGAATTTTCACAGACAACCAAAAATGAAATTAATTTACCATTCGGAATGCACACGTTCAGAATTTACTGAAACAATAACGGCGCCAGCAATACAGTCATCGGTGAATGGAAGCAAGGCTAGCATGACATCTGTTGTCCTAAGAGACACACCAGCAAAATTTAATCCGAAAGGAAAGGAGGATGAATTATCAAATAAATTTAACTTTTCTAGAAAAACAAAACGCACAGTCTTGCTGTGTGCTGAAAAATATAATTCTCACGTATCACCATATAAGGTGTAGCAAGCAGATGACGGTAATTAGACCGCAATTATCGTTTGTTGTAGAGTATTCAATTGTTTTTGTTGTCCCTATTGTTGATTAATTTTCGGAAAGTAGATTAAAAAAATAACGATAAAATATCTTCTCCCGTTGGGGTAGACTTTAATGTAATGAAACAAATTTTCAAATTGTTTTTTTAAAAGAAAAAAGTTATTTTTTAAATTTGCTTCAATGTGCAACTGATGCTAAATTAGTGACAAAAGTGTGTAGTAAACAGAAATGCCAAATTTTTGTTTTCAGAAGTCTGCGAAAAACGTCTGTGAATTTCAGAAATGCCTGTAATTGACCGGCATAAAATTAGCAAAAGTTTTTCGTGTGACGGAAGGGGGTGGTAATGAAATAGATGCGAAATTTAAAATGTCAGTAAAAGTCATGTTAGAGCAAAAAATACTTGCTTTTAACGAATTGAACCTAAGTGGAGTTGGGAATGCATCCATTTACGCCATATACGTTAAAATCAATTAATAAAGTTGCGATTAGTTCACTCATATTTTTGAAAACGTAGTTAATTCATAGAGTGCGTAAAACTTTCCGAGCTTTTACAGGAATTTGTTTTCTAATATGAGCAACATCTCGATGTACATATGAAATTAGTACACGGAAACACGTTTTCATGTAGTTTCCATTCGGAATGCACATAATGTTTTTCCATTAACAAAACCAATGATATCTATTTGAATTTCACATAACATTCATGTGATTTTGTGGTGCAATTATGATATCACATGAAATTTATGTGAAATTCTAATGAATATTTTCCATTGGATATGTGATTTATTCTTTGAGTGTATACTTCTAGAATGAGTAATTTTTTCGTCGATTTTTGTCATATTCGAAAGTTTTACTCAGTCTACAAGGAAAATACGTTTTCTAGAGTTTGAGTATTTTTTTCCTTTTGGTTTGTTTTTTCCGTCGATCTTGTTTTCCGTGCTACCGACGTGCCAAGAAGACAGCTCCCACACCTGGACCCTACCTATCGACCCATCAACTCATGAACCGGGGACCAACGGCTTTACTTCCCATCCGAAGGAAGGCGTGATCAGAGATGTTATGCCTCAGAACATCCCGGCGGCGCCGACTGCTATTGAACCCAGGCCTGCTGGGGTGAGAGGTAATCACGCTTACCACTACACCACCGGCGCCGTTAGAGAGTTTGAGTAATTTAAACTTAAATTTGAGGCCATATAAGGCCATGTAGTGTGGAAATCCGTTAGTTACTTAGTGCTGGTCCTTTTTCACGCCATCATCGGGGGAACGAGCACATCTTAGTGAGAAATTCAACTTTCACCACCTAAATATGGAGAAATCGACAATCAAAAGGGAGCTCATTAATACGATTCTAAACACTTCGTGCTCAAAAAGTGTTGATGAATCAGGATCAGGGTTGTTGAAACGATTCAAATAGGAAGGAATATCGAAATAAAGATCATCGATAAGTGGAGAATACTGTACAACGAAGCCAAGTACCAAGTCAAGTGTTGTAACGATTTGATGGGCACACGTGACACTCGCTTTGATGGAACCCGAGAACACCTCTACACTTCCACGAGAAATCACTAGGATGTTGGATAAAAAGGGTTGGGATTGCAGCAGGATTCGTTTTGCTTAATTGATGTCCTAACGATTCAATATCGCGAAGGAGCTTGGGTTTGAACCCACGGTGTTCTGCTCAGTAAGCAAAAATGTTTGCCACTAGGTAAACGAGCTCTTTTTAATCATCGACTTGCTGTAGTCATATTAACAAATAAAACGATTGAGGAATCTTTATTGTGGATGGACCTGAGATAAGACTCAATGTTCTGCTCAGTAAGCAAAAATGGTCGCTCTAAGGCCACCGAGCCCCTCATATCACATCATACCGATACTCGAATTGTTGTAACCAACCCAGCACTGACGACGACGGCAATTTTCGCAAAATACACGATAAACAAGCGATTGGCCATAAATCTCCCAGGCCTACTGGGGTGAATGGTGATCACGCTTACCACTACACCACCGGCGCCGCTGTTGACCAAAATTGTGTTAGTCTCATAGTGAGATAAAAATAAAATAAAAAAAAGTTCAGCCCTTTTCAAATGGTAGTTTACATTTTTCCAAGGAAAACAAGTATGCAAAGTCACTTAAGTAAGCTAGGTCTTTACACCCAGGAAGTTTCAATTGAAAAAAAGTACTTTTCCGTTTTTGTCAGCCCCATCTGAAATGTTAGGCTGGCAAAAACGGGAAGCTGACAAAATCGGGAAATTTTCTTTTTTAATATTTTAACCATCAAATTGATTTTGAAACTAAATTTAACCATTATTACTGGAATTACTAATATCTGTTTACCTGAGTACTGCGAACTCAACCGATTTTATTTTTCAAGTGAGCTAGAAAACATCTTGAAAATCTTCCGAAATTTCAAATTGTTTTGCTGAAACAGCTCACGAAATTGTATATACATGCTGTCAAATGAATTCTTGACTCCTCCTCCTGCTCTATAAATAACGTATTGACGAGTGCACAGATGGATTTGAGTTCACTCACTCGACAAAAAGTGACACAACAGCGGGGCCCATATGTGTTCATTTTTAGTAAACAGGGCCCCGCTGTTGTGTCACTTTTTTGCCGAGTGAGTGAACTCAAATCCATCCGTGCACTCGTCAATACATGGTGATGGGAGTGCACCTGCCCACAAAGCTCACATGACTCTTATAAAGTTTGATTACATTCTTGTTTCAGCAACCCAGTTTTGGCATTATTAATATCAAATAAAAACACTTTTTCGAGCATCACACTCGATGATTTACATTATCCGCCTATTAAGGTTGATGTTTCGATAATTTCATAATCATAATTCTTAATTTGTTTTCAGTAGGTGGCAACACCTTTCCTTGTGGTTCAAACAGTAACTACCTACGTGACTTCTGAGCTCTTTTTAATGTTTGGCTCCCGTTTGACAGTATGACTCGGCTCCCAGATGACGAGCATTTTGAGTTAATTCGCAGTACTCAGCTGTTTACTATTCATACAACAAAGGGTACGAAAAGTTTGCGTACGGTTTGCTGAGCTGGTACGTGATGTTCGGTTTCCCTTAATTCCGCTTGGTTTTCAGCGCTGCAACCAAGGCTGATCCTCCATATCTCAGTATCAACGTAAATATACTAGCCAGGAGCCGTCTTTTGCTACTGCTTGGTCCCGAGATGTTCAGTGTGATTCTGCTACCGCGTTGATGGCCATCGCTGCCTTCTCGTAGGCGTATTTACGTGGCTATTGAAGCCAAAATTGATAATGGCTCCCAGGAATTTCAACACGCACTTCTAGTTTACTGCGTGCCCTCTTGCGTTGGTACATCTGTTTCCCCACTCCACTGCCAAGCAATGAAGTCTCCTCCGATGACTACCGGTTTTCGTCCGATCAGCTCTTCGGTAAGTTCAACCAGCGTCTCGTGGAACTGCTCCATCGTCCATCGGGTACGTAGCAACTGCATATGAATATTCCGTAATTCCGAAACCTTCTTCTTGAATGGGGTATCTGCCCATAACTTGTATTACAGCCATCTCAGCTCTATCCTTTATCAGGAGGGACTCGATACAGCCAACTGGTGGAAACTAACGATTTTAAATTGGCTCACTACTTGACTAGCCTATTGGTCCCAACCAAATCGATTAACGTACTCCATTCTAGTCAAAATTCTAGTACTACACAATGAAAGTTTGACAGATAAAATGAGGGGTTAGTGGATTTTCCCATGTTTCGAGGGGTGAATCGATTAGCTTGGGACCGAAGATAGTACCAGAGCTGAGCCAAAATGTTGAGCACGTTTCTTCGGGACGTACTAGTCTTAGAATTACTTCTATGATACAGCTGTGCAGTGTCGCAATAATTGAGGCTTATTTGAGTTACCTCTGTTATTGTTGCGACAAAACAATTAAGTGCCATTTGGAGCGAAATGGTTGAGAATTCATGCTTATAAACCAAAAAGTTCACCAAAATCTTCAGACTGACAAAATCTGGAAAAAAAAAGCTGACAAAATCGGGAAAGCACTGTAACTTCTTTTGTCAGCTATTTACTTATATTTTGTAAGATTTTATATGCCTTTATATGATAAACGAAAAAAAAACATCACATGGCAGTTCAACTTTGTGTGAGAAAAGAAGATTATCTGAATACATTACTGCGAAGTAAGCCCACGCAAAGCAAGAGCACTATCGGGGAAGGGGAGAAATTCCCACCCGGTGGTGTTGATACTTTGCGTGAGCGTACTTCGATTAGCACGGAATGGCCTTACAAGTTTTGTTTACAAAATGAAATTAAATGTTACGGGAGTAAATTTATATGTAAAACTAAAAAATACCTCCATTTTTGTAATGCAACAACGCTTAGAACGGGAAACGCCAAACAAAAATTGCCGGAGCACAAAAGGTCGAACCATAAAAAGCCGAAAATGTATGAATCTGTCGCAAAAGGCTAATGAACCATAAATACTCAACGTTCGAAAACTATATTCTATTATTTACCTAACGAACGGCATTCGCTAACGGATATGCATTTCATAATGACCACCTGCGCTTCGGTAGTAATTCCCTCTTAAGTTCAAAATCTTAGCTCTCATTAGTTTAAATCAAAATGAAATTTTGATAGGTACTCGTGGAAACAACATTATTCTTTTTTGCTAAAATACATTGAAGATATCAAAATTACATGACAGTTTGACATGACAGTTTGACACTGACAATAAAATTGATTAAAGTGTGGAACGTTCGAGAAAGAAATTAATTTTCATCAAAATTTTACAGTTGTTATCATGTTGATCTTATTCAAACAAAATTGATTATGTAAGGCCCTATTAGCCCTATTATAAAGCACTGAATAAGATAGCGAAATTAAATCTCTTCTTAATCTGGAACTGAAATCAAGCTGGATGGTATATAAACTCATGGAATATATGTAGTAATTTTTCGCTCGATTGCGGATGATCCGCTGTCTTATCAAAAACGAGATCCCACTACATTTTTCGCTACTATTGGCGATTGATCGCAAATGAAAATTCATCGCGCAAAGCATGTGACAGCCATTCCCCTTTCTCAGTGGCTCACTTTTTACTTGAACATTAACTTAAAAACCTGCTTTATATCCCTGTTTAGAAAAATTCTTAACAGGACAATCGATTGGAAATTTTTCAACGAATCTGCTAAAATAAATAATTATAAATTTATAAAAGGTTTGGAAATTGCAGGAATGTGCAACTGTCGCTATAATAATTAAAATTTGACTGCGAAAAGCGCTTTTCCTAATACAGATTTAAAAATTCCAATCCGGTCTCGCCCAACGGTGTTTATTAAATAAGTGCGGGTGTGTACGGTCCTCATCAGCAGCAGCAGTAGCAGTGCTTTCGGCGCTTGGCGTTGTACCTACATTTTTCTCCAGTACACATCGAAAGGTATCCCGCAAGCAGCTTGCTATCAAGGCTGCTCTCAACAGTACACGATTCACCGAAGAAGGAGGAAGAAGCCAAACAGCTACTGATCGGATTCAGTTGCTCGTCGTGAGCCGCTGTGGGCTATCTATGCCAAACGCGTCACTCTCGTTCCAAATAACATACAGCTCACCAGCCTCATCCATGTTGAACATCCTATTAGCTCAGCATTAATCAACCATCACGACAAAACGGTTCTTTTCAGGACCACCATAAATTATTGTTAAGAGTTAATTTTCATTGAACGTTCGCTCGCTTTGCGGCCAGCCACATCCCCCCCCCCCCCCCAAAGCTCTTTGATAATGTGTTCAGCAACCAAACATTTGAGGTCTAATGCGTAACATTATTGAAGTGGTACATAAAAATTCTCGCAATGACCGAATACCACATGACCTTGTCAATTAACCAGAAACACTTCGAATAAGGGTAAGGTTTTCTTCAGGACGCTAGAAAAAAGCAAAAAATCTCGAATTTATATGACTGTTTGTGAATATTTAACGATTGGAAAATCCGTGCGTTTTGTGTACGAAAATGAGTTATTTTGTCATCAGAAAACGAGGCTATTTCGTGATGGGAAAAAGTGGTTTCCCTAACACAGTCGCTAAATATTGAAATTACTTGTTTTTTGGGCGTTTGGACATGTGTTAGCTTAGAATTTTCTAACCAATACTAGAATATCAAAATCAAGTGAGAACTAATGAAGGAAAATTAAAAATGACTGGCAACAATTTGGCATCTGTATGCTAATGGACTGTAACAAAAATAATTTGAATTAAATTAAATTTAATTCGAATATTACTAACTAGAAAAATACTACTTTATTGACGAGAAGTTTCTAATGAACCCTTGCGGTTCCGGTGTTTATATAACAAATCTGATATTTAGATATTAGAATTGTTCAGAATGCCTGAGGCAACCTTTTTATAAATCTTTATTTGAGAGATTTTCAGCCGAAGGTTAGCTCATCTCTACCTGAAGCAGCCGATTTCATGAAAAAAGTTCAATTAACAACCAAGAATTAATCGTTGGAGGATTACTGAAGTGTTATACTGCCGTTATATGAATATGTGTTCCACGGTCTATAATGTTTGCATAGCACGTGGGGCAGTTATGCGTATAACGGCAGTATATAGGTGATAAGTTTCACTAAGGAAGATTATAATATTAATACAAATATTAGATCTATAATCTTTCACTTTAGTAACGTCAACCCCCATGTCCAGCGAGAGAAGGTTTATGATTTGCATTGTCTTTGAGTACATACCTCTAACATTTTTTGATTAGTTTCGTTAACTCCATTCTCCTTTTCTAATCGTTGGCTCATTTGAAACAGTTCTCTTCCGAACTCAAGCATCCTTTCGACACCGGATCGTGACACACCGGTGTTGGTTGATTTGCAATTTGGCGACAACGACGAATCCACATCTTCAATAACATAAAAATATGGATTAGGATGCTGTACCTTAACGGTCCAATATGAAAAAGATAGTTCTTACCCATATCCACGTCCCTGCCATCTTCATCTTCTTCATCGTCATCGTCGAGCGAATCGTTGAGATTGCTGTTAGACGTTCCGTTTTTGTAGCCGTTCGAGCTATTTACGTTATTCGTGTGACCATTCTCCATCTCTACGTCATTAGAGTAGTCGTCTTCGATACATGTGCCGTTATTACTACCATAGGGAAGAATCCGTGTTCAAGTTCGTCATATTGAATAAATTGAATAGTCATGGCCAAGTACCTGAGGACGTTATTTTTGCTAAACCCCTGATTGTCAGCGTCATCCGGGATAACCGTGTTTCCGTTTTGATAACTTTTCGTCGATTGTATAACTGACGTTTGCACTGGACTCGTGTGAGTTGAACCGCTCTGTAATAGAAGTGCAAGTTTGTCTAGAGCACCCATCACAACATAAAGAGGATTCGAAGTACTTACGAGGTCGAAATCAGATCCGTTCACCATTTCGATAAACTGCCTACATTTGAGCATGAATAGCAGATTTTGGTTCGACTCCAGTAGACCTGGATATAAGCGTACAGTATGCTCAATTGCCTGTCCCATGCGCCCCGATAGTACAAGTTTGATTATTTCTGTAAAACAAAGCAATGTTTTTGATAGATGAGAATAGTTTTTGATAGCAAAAGTGAGTTAAAACCTACTTTGTCGATTCTTTATCGACGCCATGTCTTCTTGTAGTGACTGGCCGGTGGTACGTGCGAAGGTGTCCGCTGTCGAGCTATAGCCATGATGCACAAGATACGATGAAACCATTTTGTGCAAGATCACAGTCCAATCGCCCTGATCATCCGGCAGGGGGAAATTATAAATAGTGGCTTTGGTCGCCGCCCGCAACTCCTTCAGCATGTCTTCGATGTCAAACTTGAATGGTTCCTGGCCGAAATTTGCGTCCACCACTTCACCAGGGGTCTGCAGTCCCACTGTGGGATATAATCGTGGCTACAAGAATATGTGAACCCATTATTCTCACGACTTAGCAACTACGTATGATGGTACTTATTCTCAAACTAAACTTACCGGTAAATCTCTGAAAGCTATTCCTAGATGGTGACCGTTTTTAGTGTAGAAACAGGTATTGTCGACTAAATTTACACCACAACCAATAATATCACCGGTGGTAAAGGTGGGTCCGTACGGTTGACCATTACCGGACGAACAGAACGAATTTCCATCATCTCCGTGGTATCCATACGATTGCTTATCCCAACCCGGTAACCGATTCATTTTAAAGTGTGGATGTGCAGTCAGCCCGATGCCCATGTAGCCGTCACGACCTTTGGAGATTATCTTCACCTCGAAATAGTACAGCCCACATGCTGCTGGGATAGGGAATGGCGTACGCACTGATGCTGCGTCTGTATGTGATTTTCCAACTCCTGAAGAAAAGTAAAATGGTAAATATGACACGTTAGTAAACAGCACTAATAATCTTATAACGCCCATAAAGGGCTGTACTTAGACTACATACACTGGGTGAGGGGTTCAAGTAATAGTAGGTTTACGCATGGGAGATCGAAGATCTGAAGTAAGATGTGTCCAGAATCCAAACCCACTGTATTATGGTTTGTGACGCATTTAGGTACGCATACTACACAATCATTGGCGTCAACGTCAAAAATGTTTCCAATAAAGCACATAGAAATACCTAGGACGCTTGTAATTTTTGCTGTCTAGATTATCTACGGGACAACATTATACTTGAGCAACGCGTTTCGACTAGTGACGCCGGTGGTGTAGTGTAGGGGAAGGGGGGGGGGGCTAGACAATTCTGGAGGGGGCCTGGCCCCTTTTGAACCCCCATTAGCTACGCCATTGAATAATATGCATTTGTCATAATTGCCCCGTAACGTGGGTAGATCGCCTTTTCGTGGTACGTTACGGGATGTAAGATCTGCCACCGATTCCTAGTCCTGACTACTTCAAACTAGGGGAATAGGATTTTTCAGTAATCCAAGGAACACATCTTAGTCCTAGTTACTTTTTATGCCTTGTTGATAGTGACAAGACTCGGCTTTGTCCACCGAGGATGATCTTGAAACAAGGAAAAACTAGTTAGTTAGTCTTCATCTATGTGATTCCTAACCTTCTATTTGTTGTTCCCTAGTTTGAAGTGATTAAGACTAGGGTTCTGATGCATGGTCATTATCGGTGTTATACCTTAATTTTGTTGCTAAGGAATCCAATTTTGACTGACAAAGGGGCGCGCCTTTGGAGGGTGTTTCAACACTCCGAAGGGTATAAATAGCGGGACCTTTCAATTAGAGTCGAATCCTTGCGATAAATGCAAGAATGACAACTGTGAAAAAATCGAGTACTTCATCATTTCTCAATAGTGATGGAGTAATACGCACTAAACTAAGGACACTGGATATACTGGATTCCCTCAAATCTTTGTTCGACGACATTTCCGCTAAAGGAACAGTAGTTTGGTAAAGAGAAATGATAAAACCGATGTGTACTTTCCTAAAGTTGTCCTAGCTAACTCGCTTTCTACTCTCAATATGCAATTTTCACACTGCCGTAACCTAACGGAACTATCAATTTTATACTTTCATCTCCTCATCTATCGTATAAAAATTACCACTTTAGTATGTTATTTGAAATTAGCATCTTCAACTATGTAAAACATATAGTTTAAGTCTTCTTGTTATTTGCAGCAGATTCCAGAAGACATTATATGTTCTTTTCATATTTACAAATATGGAGGAGAGGAAATTTTTGTTTGCTAATTGCTAAGATTACGAATATTTGTTTTTACCAAATAACATCTTTTTATGTATCCTTAAATCTTGTATGATAAAAATTTGATAATGTAATTTATTTCAATAGTATTTTGCATTTGAAAAATAGTTACGCAGTTACCATTACAAATGCAAGTCACAATTATCAGATAACAATAATTTATTCAATTTTTACCACTTGCTTTATTCATTTGATGTGTTGTGCAGTAGTAAAGGAATAATTTACCACGTACCAATAGAAATATTCAAACGTAGTGCAGTAAACCAGTACTGATACCACCACTGGCGGGGATCATAAGCTGAATAGGCTGCAAGGCACTTGTTATGGTTATTGTCTATGCTGGACCACAGAAAGGCGACATTTTCCCCTACATAATGGTAGTATTAGTTTGCATGAGCGAGCTACCCGAGCAAAGTCTGAGATCAAATGGAAATCTAAATTTCATGTTGTGATTCAGCTTATAATGATTACTCAGGTTGCTGTCGTGTTGGTCGTTTTAACGGTTAAAATATCAAAATTGAGAGCAAAAAAATCTTCCTGTGACATTAAATTGAAAATTATTTCTGCTATCAGTGAGAGCAAACTGAAAACTAAATTTGATATAAATTTTTCCTGTTCATAACAAAACAAGTATTCAAGTTGATGTTATGCTTAGGCAATGAAAACAAACCCGCAACAACATATATTTGAAGAGCAAATGTACAGCAAAATGGAAACAAAATTTGGTATCAAATTTGTGAATTGCGAAACTGAAAGTTTGATGTTGACATCAAAACTTGATTTCAATTTGCTGTCATTTTGATGCTGGACTTTTCTCGGGTATCAGCTTCGATAAATTGATGTTTGAAGTAATTGTTTACAAAAGCACTTACGTCAATTTGAAAAATGTGTGGTTTTCGGGTCAGGTTCTTAAATTGTCGGCCTTTTAAGGTAGGTCTATCCATACATTTTAGAACTTTTATGCTGCGGCCTTTTTTCGTTTGGCCAATACAAACTTTTACGACTCTGAACTGAAACAAATATTGGAAAATTGATACACTTTACTTTAACAATCTAAAGAGACAATCAATGGAGAGAATCTATCGTCACAGTAAGGCCCTTGTGATTCTGAACGCTAAATTTAAATGTTTTATTTGTTTGCTGTAAAAATCATAAATCATCCACTTATAGCTTTATAGTTGTTAGAATTTGCATCGCACATACTTTTACATTCGGCCATCTGATCAATTACCACAACAAAGAAGAATAAAAAAAAACGAGGTCACCTCATATGATCGATGACGATGCGAGAATCGTAAAATAATAAACAACAGGAATGAGCTTACAAAAAGGGTAACTAACCCATTTACACGCACAGTGCAGTAGCAGTTTTTGTAGTAACACGCGATAATTTAGCAAAGAACCGATACTTTTCAAATTTTAAATACCTTCACCCTTTCATGACAAGCGGTGTTCTTATGTACGGATAGAAACTACATGAGGTACCCTACGTTGTTTTCCGCATCAATGCATATCAATTTCACCTTGACTTCAGCAGTGTAGGAACTAACTTCTGTTCTGCATTGACTTACTGCAATTGGAGCTAAAGGGTGAGAAGTATTTCAAGGACCTTTAGAAATGGGTGTAACCAGCGAGTATTCCTCGATAAGTGACTGTTTTCACTTCCATCGTCGATTTCTCGCAAACGATCAAAGTAATAGGGTAAATGACGGCTTCGTCAGGGGATGAATGAAGCCCCAGCGCGGTCAAATGGCGCTCAATTATTTATTTTTTCATTGTTATTGTTGTATATAGTCACTTTCGGGTCATCCGTGACATGTCCGAGAATGAGATTTGAACTCGTGACTTTGACGTGAGAGGTATGTGTTAACCTTTACACCCCTCTAACCCAATGCCTTATTTACCCTGTTCCGATAATAGGGAAAGGTATTGCCGAAGCCGTAATTTACCCTACTACCATAAAAAAATCAAACTTTGACCGATTTGCGGCACCCCTAAATCATGTCTGATTGAGGCCTAATTAAGCCTTTTAGGGTATTTTTGAAGCAATGAACATTTTGAAACAATCGAGAAACTTTCGAAAAAAAAATACAATTGACACCGTCTTCAACCAGAGGTTGCACAGACTGAACACTAGACAACGGATAACACACAACACCCAGTTGGGAAATTTCCAGTTTGCAAAAAGTTCCACCGGTTGGAACGGGAATCGAACCCTCACCTCACTTCGTGGCACTCACATTACGCCAGAACGACGGGTGATGCCGCTAACCGCACGACCACGAAGCCCAATTTATTTTGCATAATTTCGCAACTGTTCATTTGGCAGCATTGAAACTAGTGTTGGGAAAATATCAAAAAATCAAATCTCACCAACGCCCAAAATCACGCTTGATTTTCGTAGACAAAAATCAACAAGCAAACAACTGCGGTTGATTTTGCAAGCTGTGAAATAGCAGCTCAGAATATCAAGCTAACAAAACTCACCAGCTGCAAATCTCAACAAACTGTGGTGAGATTGAGTTTCGTGATTTTTGCTTTATACCCGAATGCAACCGAAACTTCCATACGGCTGGAGGCAGTCACTTTGTGTCTGCCATCGGTGAATAGTAAAAAGAGATCATTTTTGTGTTGAGTCAACTCTCAGCTTGATTTTTGCACGTTGTGAATAGTCTCGCAATATCAAAGGAGCTTGTAAAATCAATATCAAGTATGATATTTTGTTCCAATATCACGCGTGATATTGAGAGCGTATGAGAGTGGAAAAATATCAATTGATTGATGATTTTGCCAACACTGATTGAAACTCAAATTAATTCGAGTGGTGATAACACCAATTCAGAAACATAGGACAGTATTTGGAAGAGCTCAGAATATGTTTTATATTTAAACCTTTAGAACATATTTCACCCTTGATACATCTTAATAAAATTATCACAATTCCGAACAGCCCTGCACAAATGTGTTGGAACAGACCTGAGCAGAGTTTGAATAACTTAAGAATCAGTTGTGATAGAACAAATAAAGTAACAATCTGCCCTGCTACATACAAATGTAGCAGCTCAAAACCAAAATCAACAAATAATCTATCAATTAATGAAAAAATAGCTTCTAACAACAAAGTGATATTAAAATCTCAATGGATCACTTTGTCAAATAGTTTTTAGCGTGACTTTCTACCAGCGATTTAAGGAGAAAAACGTCAACAACAATACTAAAAGGACGAAAATCAGTACCTTGCCCTAGTCTATGTCATTTAAACTGCTCGAATGAAGTAGTGTTCATTTATTGTAAATATTGTAACTCGAGCACTAGTAAAAACAAATGCTGTAAAATGATTACAACAATCGTAAAACAAAGGTTTTGTCCGAAGCGAGATACGAGATCTTTTTTGTTGCTCCATTGAATAAAAATAACAAAACTAAGAATCTCTCGACATTCCTCCCCAGGCATGGAAAATCATTTGCATTCATTTCGTGCATTCATTTACATTCATTTGCCTCTAACTTTTTTTCTTCAATAGCATTCTGCAAAATAATGTCTACAGCTTTTGTAGGTTTTGTTATTAGCTACAACTTTTTTTAACAAGTCAAATCTGTATCTCTTATGCATGACGAATCAGAGCGAACAGAAG